ATTACTGGCAGACGGGAAAAAATTTATCTCAACAAATTTTTGACATTTTTATTGTTTCTGCCAATTATTAATATACCTTGGATACATCTGCCAATACATTGGATTTTACTTTGCATATCAAACTCATCTTCCAAATGGCAGATGGGAGAAAATTGTTTCAACATCTCAGCATTTTGATACAACTTCAAAAATTGTTAAATAATATTATAACAACCGAGATTTTCTGCCATTTCCTCACTGATCTCTAAATCGTAAATGCAACATAAATTTAATTTGGCAGACGGGAGGTCGTTGATCCACATGTCCGATTTTGGCGACATTTTGAAATTAGTGATATGACACTTTATACTAACCTAGGGTTTCCGCCGTTTAGCTTCCTTTTACTCATTTTTGTTTAAATTACCTTCACAATGTGTGGCAGACGGGATAATATTGATCCAAATCTCCACTTTTCATTACATTTTCAAATTAGCATATCATTGTATTGTCACACGCGGGGCTCTTTGAAATTTCAGCCATTCCACTTCTTATTGCATAGAGAAGAACCATCCTGAATGGCAGACGGGAGAAAATCGTTTTAAAAAAATGGTCGTTATGCACCGGTCTATTATTCTTGAAACATAGGAGCAGCGATCCCAGGAGAACGAGTGTTCCATCTTTGTTACTTATATTATCATTTCCATTCCATTGAGAGACAGAACACTCGTTCTCCTGGAAAGGCTGCTCCTCTGTTTCAAGAATAAGGACGCATGTTACTTATTGCTATAAAGTATTAAATGTTTCAGAAAAGTTTTTGGATTAATTTTCTTCGCTTTTCCTAGCCATACTGATGAATGGAAAAGCGGAGAAAATTAATCCAAAAACTTTTCTCAAACAGTGGTACTTTTGGGTGAAACCCAAACGAAATGAATTTTGGTCTGCCTTTGGAACGTTCACCATTTTGCACAGCAAAATTGCGTGTAGTGTTGATTATCGTGTCCTAGATGGCGTTAAGATCAAGATTCGCTCTTCGAATTAAATGTTTCCTTTTCGTTTGAATTGAGAAAAACATCCGGAAACTCTTATAAGAATACCCTATATGTTTTTGTATCACCCTGTATAATATGTTCTAATTGTGTTTTCACATGCGCCATTCTTGTAGTGTTTGTTTCGAAAAGAAATAATGTCGTCAATAGCTATATTTTACATAAAATCATATAACTCATAATAAAATCGTAGTCGGCTGCGATATTCAAAAAATCTCAAAAACGCCTCGAGGTACTAAGGTACTCTTTTGAACTTGATACCAAAAATCTACTTAACCCTCTTTCCAGCAGAATGGAGTGAACTCAAACTTTCGTAAAGAAATTGCCAACTTATGTTTCACCCTGTATCTTTTAGCAGGTGGCCGGAAATCTGTTAAAAACTGGAAATTAAATAGCAATTAGAGCATCCTTTCACTCCTGAAAATTTTAAAAAAATCGGCCTGCTAGATTTTGAGTTATGGTCTTACAAGAAGTGACCAAAAATTGGGGTGTTCTAGTTCGATTGACGCGTAGTTTATTTGAGGATTTCTATCATATTTCCTGTATACCTTCTTCAACGTTTAACCTCTGATTTAATACCAGTTTTAATTTGATTCTACAGTTTTTAAATTTTAATGCTTGATTTTTAACCTCACTCTGATATCAACGTCACTCAGGTCAACCATAAACAATACTCTTTGTTTTTTTGAGCACTTATGGTGGTCACGCCTTGAGTTGTCGCATGTTACAGATTGAACAGTCCGATTACCAGTACCTATTCAATACAAAAAAAAATCTTCCTGATTTTATATACTGATTTTTTGAATTTAAATACCAAACAATATGTTTTTTTTTCTTATTTTCACAACAAACATATTCACAGTATTCTATAGAACACGCTTTTAAGCATTTTCACTAAATACCTATCATTGCTCATTGTTCAAATTGACGTGCGTGTTTTTTCGTATGTCTCTTCACAGAACATTAGGAATTAGTTTTCAGATTTATTTGGTCCTATATGTATTTACAGGGCGATATATTAGGTTTGGAAATTCGTGATAAGGACCACTTCTAGTTTATTTTCTTTAAAACCCGAATTTTTAGTTTCTTGTTTGTGCAGTATAGTATACATAGCGTATAACTTATTCCCGAATTCGCCCCTCATGCATCTGTTGGCTGGGCCTCCATTAGCCTGAATAGATACTACGCCACGTAACTATTAATTCCATAAAGGAATATTTAGTTTCCAAGGTGATAATTATCATTTATTTGCAATCATATATGTAATCTTGTCATTACTGACTTTTTAAAAATTTGGAAGTAACACTTTAGCTGTGTCACTTCCCTCTTCGATTTCCCTCACCGATTTCCCTATTCGACTTCCCTCACCGATTTCCCTCACTCTAATTTATTTGCCTTTGCTGGCAACAATGAAAACATGTCAGGTAAAAACGTCAAAGCAGCGAATGACACATTTTGGCATGCTTGTTTTATTTGCAATCATATATGTAATCTTGTCATTACTGACTTTTTGAAAATTTGGAAGTGACACTTTACCTGTGTCACTTCCCTCTTCGATTTCCCTCACCGATTTCCCTATTCGACTTCCCTCACCGATTTCCCTCACTCTAATTTATTTACCTTTGCTGGGAACAATGAGAACATGTCAGGTAAAAACGTCAAACCAGTAGATGACACATTTTGGCATGTTTGTTTTTTTTTTAATATTAAAAAAAAAATGATTGACTAATCATAATTAATGGTGTGCTTGCAAATAAAATAGTATACAAACCTCGGAAGAAAGTTTTCATTTCTGTCTCGAGATTGATAGTCATTCTCGACGCTCCGCGTCTCGATTGACTATATAAATCTCTCGACAGTAATGAAACACTTCCCTACTCGGTATGTAATATACTATTAACCCCGTTTCCTGGAGCTTCAGCAGCCTTGCTCGCTGCTTTGAATAAATAATTGATGAATATGAGATATCTCAATACTCAACATATGCGAAATAACCTTGAATTATTTTTTTTTGTAAAATATAATAAATTTACCTAGTACGTTTTAGGTTTCTAGAAGAAACCTAATTGGATACCGCCACTCATATCTGAATGTAGGTAGGTATGTAACTCTTCTTTATAATCCAGCATTTGTAAATGCGAAATTTGAATATTTCCTTCCTCTTTCGTCCGATTCTCATGGATTTTATAGTAAAATATTTCTTGGTCTCCAATTTAATTTTATCGTCAAAAAAGAGGAGAAATTGCAAAAATTTCACCAAAACGATCTGAAACCATGCTCCATATCGGTCCTTAGAACTAGCCGCATTAGGTAAACCACACTCCGACACGCAAAGATATCCAATGCATGCAAGTTTTTCAAGTATTTGTCGAACTCAACATGTGTCTCAAGTTAGTAACCTAGTTAGCAACGACTCTTCCGAAACGAATTTAAAAAAAAGGAAGACGCTAATCGAAGGAAAATACCAATCAAAATTTGACACAGTGACAAGAATTTGCAGAACAATATACTGATTAGTGATTAATAGTAGATTATACCACGAGTCAATAATGATAGCTATTATTCCCGAGGAATATTTACGAACTGCGAGGGAATAAAAGCCATTATCGCGAGTAGTATACACTACTTTATTTACGACAAATTAATTCATTCGAGATTTTTAATGAACTTTCATCCATCTCAATTCTCATTACATATCCACAAGCACTACACGTTTGACACTGAAACTTTTGAGGAATAATAACCATTAATCTCTCTACTCGTCATTATTCTCTGGGGAAATAACATATGGCATTATACTGTCAAAATCACAAGTATAATATTTACGTTATACATTAGTCGTAAATAAAGACTATAATCACCTAGATTAAAGGTCGTACCTACCTATCAAATGCACTCACCAGTACCTATGATAAAATACAAGAAAACTAAAAGCAAAATTTCAAAAAATTAATCTTTTCTACGACCGTGCGTTTTTCGCCACTTTTCCGCTCGCAGTTTAGTTTCGGAAGTGTCACTGTCCTTACAGGTGGTTTTGAATATTTTTCCTGCATGTGAAACTAAATACTTACCGGTTCACCTTTTGATAATTATCAGATAACAATGGGACCATGGATAGATGATAGTCGCCTCGATAGTCCTATCATGAAAGTGAGGCGTCTACACGTACCTACCAAAAAATATACGCAGTAAACTGCCGCGGTAACTGCTGTAATTGGTGAAATAATTAAAATTAAACGTAAAAAAAAAAAGGAAGATATGGATGAGAAAATGGATAGCTAGAAGAAGTACACTTGGTGCTTCTGAAAGACTTCTGAATGAACTTGCTGTAGAAGAGACCCAAGCAGTTTTTTAAGCTTCTTAGGCATAAATGAGGAAATGTTCAACCCCTTTCAATTCTCGGGAGAAAAAAATCCAAATGTTTATGTACTATTATTGTATTTTACGGGGTATTTTAGTTAGCAGCGTCGACTCGTCGACAAAATTTAAAACCGAATGAGCATCCATTAGCTGATGATCCTGCATAGAAATAACAGCAGAAAGCTAAATAAAACTTATAAAATTAGATTCTGAGTCATTTTCTTCCAAATTATATCTTAGAAAACTGTCAGCTAATGAATAAGTTTTTACCAGCGCCCGTTCCAGTTTCCATAGACTTTTTTATTTTAGCCACTTCTTGATTATAATAATGTAGGTACACCTAATGCTCCTAATTTTCTGCCTAAGTTCTTCAATTGTAGAAAGTCCTGATAAGGGCAACAGAATTTCTTAAGCATGATCCCTATTTACTCTGTTTTTGAAATCGGGCGAGCTTTTCTTCCAGAGACATGGAAACCTTTCATATTCTTTCAAAATTTTATTACATCAAACCGCTGGTTCATCATTTTATCGAAATAATTTTTGATATTTTGATTACCAATCTGGCCGGTTTTAAAAAAACGACTACCCATCACGAAAGTATTCCCAACTATCTAGTCAAGCAAGAAAGTGCGACAGCACTGTGGCGTCAGCATGATAGCTACTATTGTCTTCAAGTTCAGCAAAAAGCGAGCGTAGAAAATCAAGTTCCGCTACGTCGGGCGCATTTAGGCTTGTTGCGGCGAGCGGCACTTCAGGCTCGTTAAAATCGGATTCTGATACTGCCGCAGGAATTGGGCCTTGGCTTAGAATAGTGTCCGACTCTTCTAAAGTGGCGCCGTACAAGTCTGGAATGTTTCTGTCCGTCATTTTTGTCGATTGTCCGAAGTCGGTTTGGGATGCCAGTTGTTTTTGGGGTAAAACAACAACCCTTTTCGTTTCCCACGGTTGTTTGTACAACTTCTCAGTTGTACTGAGAGGAGGTGTTTTTGTCAAAGTTTCGTCTGTACTATAGTGAAAATGAGGTTTTTCCTAAAATCCCTCCAAAAAATTCGAGCTAGAGGTAGTTTCGACTTCTGTCTTCTTATAAAACTCTGTTCTAACCCGGCGGCAAATCTTGCCTTTGACTTTGTTTTGAAATTGAGATTTTTCCGTAAAAAATTTCAAGAAAGAATCAAGCTGGGGGTAGTTAAGATGCTTCGGTCTGTCAATAAACTCTGTCCCAACTCGGCGAAGCTTATCTTGCTTTGATTTAAACTAAAATTGAGATTTTTCCTAAAAAAGCCTCAAAAAAAAAGTCAAGCAAGACTTTCTAGTCTTTTAGCAAATTCTGTCCCAACTTGGTGAGCCTTCGAAAGAAGGAAATGATTATTATTTGATTTCAGAGTTTGAATTCGACGTCAAGGACGGACACGGGGGGCGAAAACCTTTGAAGAAGACTTCCAAAAGTAAACGTGAAAATCGCGGGGAGGAGTCTAGATCTACTAGACGGAAAGCTGCACAAATGTGCCGAATTTGAAACGCCAGGCTCAATTAGAACCAGAAATCAAACGAATTTTCTTTTTCTTCCAGACAATTGCCCTTAAAAGGACTTTGTCGGGGATTTGTGGTAAGCTAATGTGAAGTACTCCCCCAGGACATCAACCTCCAGTGCAAGGATTGATGCGGGTTTCCTTGCGAAGAACTGGGCTTTTCCGGAAGCCTTATTTCGCGCCCGAGGGATTGAACGTTGGCTCTCTCGTTCCTTTCTACGTACCTATGAAGGTAGCTCGCACCAACAACGCAATGTGAGACTCGTCTGCCGGCCACCTAAAGTGATCCCGAAGGCAAGGGGGCCCACAACAAAGCGTTGACAGCCTATTACGCGCTTCTAAGTGCAGGGTACATGTCACGGCACTTCTGTCGAATAAATGAGGGGAGAGCTCTTCTTGTCTCTGGCGCAGAGAACGGGGCAGACAAGAGAGATGAAGTCTCAGTCGCTGTCTGTAGAGAACTTTATATATTTCGGCGATACTTTTCACAAGCTCCGCCAACCGCGAAAAACAGCATATCCCATGCAACGCAACACGTTCGGGTTATTTACATGGTGATTGTTTATGTGATAGTTGCTATCGAGACAGCAACTATCGCAAAAACTATCACCGTGAAAACGAGCCTTAACACTATGGCAACCCATTGATTTATGTGTCACTGTCGCATTCATATTCAAGTAAATAGAAAAAAATCTCGAAGGCGTCAGTTTCAACAAAATAAAAAGTCATTGGGAAAGTCTCATTGTATGGAAATACTCTTGAAGTTTGCCTTTAATTTGTATAAGTATTTATTAATAATAATCTCTATTAGCTATATAATATCTCTATTAGCTATATAAAATATGATAATTGAAAATGCTCAACATTTTTATTCTATCGTTGCATGTGGATGTGGTTTAATTTTAGTAATAGTACCTGAAATTTAAAAAATATATATATACTTATATTTTTTCTACGAGCGTGCGCAAAATTAGTAGGTACTTTGTCGGAAAATCTTACTTTGCGCACTAATGCTGAGACAAACCGTCATCATCATTAAAGATATTCATGTAGTTAGCTAGGTACCAGTAAAAATTATAAAAATAAAAAATTCACCCTTAACATTACATAATCTTCCACATTGTTCTTTTACTCAATAATCAAATGAAATAAGTTTCTTTGTTAGTTTTTTTCGTTATATTTTGTTTGTTTTATTTATTATCTCATTTTTTATTTTTTGAAATGAATGTTCTCGCTACTAGAAAAAATACTTACTGTTCCTAACTCTTGCACAAAGTCAACAAAATATACTTAGGACACTAGTTAGGACATATACCTACTATTATTCCATAAGCTTTTAATTCATAAGGAATGGTTCCAGAATACATTGTTAGACCTACCTGCTACATCTGCTTTGAAAATAAGTGCACCCATTCTAGTGAATGGATATTCAAAACACAACGTCAATGGAATAGCCAAAATAACCATAGCAACCATATCACCGAGGGAGTCGAAAATCTAAAAACAATAAATCAACGGAATCTTCATCATGATCGTTTTTTTAAATATCATATATTCCTTACCGATAAAAAATGTGAAAAGTAGGAAGGTGTTTTTTTAGAATTTTGCATTACTTGTTGAAAAAGGTAGTGAAACAAAAATATGTTAAAACATAATCTTCCAAGTACTTTAAACACTGGCCAGGAGAGAATCGAGTTGACGATACCTGAAATTAACCAATGATTTGAAGGTTTTGAGTTGGCAGTGAGCAATGAGGCCACAAGAGGTTGCACAACTCCCTTAATATCCTATTTATTTTAAGACAACTCTTGTTCTTACCAGCGTCTCCATTTTGACAGCACCATATAATCCACATTAACCCAAAAGTCCAAATTGATCTATGGCAAGCGAGAAACAAACTAGCAAAGACTCTATTGTACTCAAAGTCTTCTAGACGAAACGAGCGAGTTATTAAAATCACTGTTGGTAATAAGACCAATACTAAAATCCAACCCATAGTTTTCGTGCAAACAGACATTTTAACTTTTTGGTTTTTTGTAGTAAACAAAGCATGTCCAAAGGCTAATCCCAAAATATAGGGACCACCTCTGATAATTGGCTGGGTGTAATAATAGGCAAAATAGTCACTCGATAGAAGTCCTGGTCTAAAATTGAAATTTTGTTTATTAAATACCTGTATTATGTTGTTACCAACTTACTTAAAATTATAATTTGAAATTAAATTAAGTAATCTAGAGAAAAAAAAAAACTAATGGGTTGTGAGATTCGGATAATAACTCAATAATTTTATTACAATATACAGGATGTCTCGCGACATTTTACCCAGGTGATATCTTCGGAACGCGTCATCCAATATAATTAAAATTTTGAGGAACTGAATAAGGTTTTGTGCCGCTTCTCCGTGTGTCATCCAATTTCACCACGTTCGCTTCAGCTTCGGTCAAGTGACGGCAACTATAGAATTTTAAATGCAGCTTATATCATATTATGGCATTTTTTATTCCCTTATTGCTGAGGTATGGAAACAGACATTTTGGTCAAGTGTATCAGAGGCAACTGAAGAGCACGTGCCAGGGTCATCGGAGACGCTATAGGAATTTAGTAATAAAATCGGTAGAATGATCAGATTGGCATGTCCACAAGGTACAGACGACTTCAGTACAACAAAACAACCTTCAGTAGTAGATACGGGCCTGCAGCAAGCATCAGGAATGAGATGAAGTATGAAGCTGCGAAAAAACATCGCGAAAAATGTAAAAAGCGAAATCAGATTATTCAACGAGAGCCCGCGAACACCGAGGCAGATATTTTTTAAAAGCTAGAGAAAATATTGCAGGAAGAACACAATAAAGCGTAACAGCTACGGCAGTGAAGGATATAGGCCCGAGCAGGAATTGTAGGTAACGTTCTCGTTTAGACCACGATCCATAGGAAGAAGCTGTCTCCAGACATCACGGAAATTCTACCTCGCCGCCAATGTTGGAGGGCAAATGGGAATCATTAGTCGCTAGGACTAATGATTCCCATGCCTCCAAATTAGGGGTGTTCTCCATCAAAAGAAGACTTGATACAAATATTTTTGAGCCACCACCGTGACATTGGAATTAGGCAGCACCGAATTGAAGGTGAAGGTAATGGTTTCTGACACATTAGGTGAGTAAATATATAAAACAAGAATTTACCACCCAAATAAACAAGGTAAGAACAGATTTTAAATCACTCAACTCAAGGAGGGTCACAAACTTTTTGAAAATACCACTGCTAGAGCGTTAAAAAAAAAAACAATATTGTCATATTTGGGCTTTCCTACGAAAAAACTGAACCGGTGATAGCCTAGCCATCTTCGCACTAAAGAAGCTCAAATTACTCCTGGATATTGACATAAAATACCATCAAATAGACATTATCTTTCAGATTGAAAAAGATCTCAACCCAGAGAGACCAATCCTAATTAAATTTGTATCTTTCTTAACAAAGGTTGAAGTGCTCAGAGCCTGTAAAAAATTGAAGGGCACTGAAGTATCGATCGCTGAGAATGTTACGCAAGAAGAAAGAAGTAAGCTGAACATTCTGAGCCAACACAAAAATCTAACTCTAGAGAAAGGCCAAAAAGCTTACATTAGGAACTTCAAGATTTCTGTTAATAACGAAGAATACAATATAGAAGAATTGGAAGAAGTTGGAAGCTGCTCTGAGGAAGAAGCCTTTCAGGGAGAAGTTCAACGATCTAACAGCGCCCCTCCAACACCTACTGTTAACAGACATATCGACTTTGAGGTAGAGGTAGAAGTGGAAAAAGAAGAAAAACAAGACAAAGAAGAAAAACCTCCACATTCGCAGAAGGAAGAAAAAACCGAAGGAGAGAAAGCCGTTGGATACTAAACCCAACAAGCTAATTCTTACTGAACCTAAACTGAAGGAGAGACTACGCAAAGCTAGTGCTAGGAAATGTTAGCGCACACGCTAAATAAAATTGTCGGTAAAATTTTAATATTTAAAAAACACACAATTGTTATTTCGCGCAGGGTACAAAGTTCGCACTTGCGGAAGACAGTACAGAAATTTCGTGAATGGCGGACATATAGATTCTGTGTCCTCCGATTGTATCAATTTTACTTAATCAGTCGACCCTATTTGTGACTAAAGACCTATCTTAAAATGTGCTGGTATCACTGAAGAAGTGGTTGTGAAACACGAGAAGAACTGGGGCCCCAGAGAACCCCACAATCCGGAGTTAATCGGTGAGTACCCTGTTTTTTCTACAATAATTGTCATTGTGTGTTTCGTTATTTTAAACCTATGGATACATTTCTTAAACAAATTTATTGTTAGCATTCACATCTTAACCCAGCGTAGTCCGCTGCTTAATCTTAAATCATAAATAAATCATAAATTGTGCTGCCTTCGGCACCCCGTCATCTTTGAAAAAATAAACAAAAACTGTTAGCTAACATTCGTATCTGTATTTACCTCTCTATTGTAATCCGCCATTGTTGCCATTTTACTAATTAAATTATTATGGATGAATATATAATAGTATATTATGATATAAGTGTATAAGAGGGCATTTGAAGCACGCGCGACATAAATTACAAAACACGACGCGTAGCGGAGTGTTTTGTAAGTCGCAAGGGCTTTAAATGCCCTCTTATACACGCATATCATACGCTATTTTTTATTACGAATGCATCATAATCTCAAAAATGTTTTAAAAGTGTTCATTCATTTTGATAAGTAGTAATTTAAATGGCAGGTATGCAGGTAAATATCTAGGTAATGAAGGTAGATCGAACGTTTCTATAGCAAACCTTTGAAAAAGTAGACGCATCATAAACATCATTTTATGCACGCTGCAGCGTGCGATAATCGTTGATTATGATGCATGCGTAATAAAAAAAAATTTAAAACTTTTTCAATAAAAACAAAAAATATTGAAAACATACTTGAATGCGCTGATTTACTTAATTCTGAAAAAAAAAATCAATCAATTTTTCTGTCATTCATTCCAACATAAGAGGCTTAGAATAGTATATTGTGTATTTAGGTGGGAAAGTGACACATTCTCGGCCGACGGTGTAAGTTGACGGGCGAGGCATAGTCGAGGCCGGCATACACCGAAAGCCGAGAATGTGCTTTTCTACCGAAATACACATACTATTTTTTTTGCGATCGGGTAACTAAATGTTTGTCTTTTTGTTCCAATTATTCAGCAGTACGGGAATCACTTTCCCGACCTAGGCCGGAAAAGTGATTCCCGTATTGTTATTAATTGATTCCTTAGCAACTATTGAAACATAATTAAAATACCAGAATATTGAGTTTTGCTACCTGTCAGCTGGTCAAAAATGCTGACATTTCTTGTCAATAGCAGAAAGAAAAAAAATTACCTGAATTTCAGTTACTTCTGAATGGATTTCGATTGCATAATTTTATCGGAGACTAGCATATTGTTTGATTTAAGCTTATTGCAAATACCTGGATATTCAATGTTCTGCAACCAGGGTAATTTGAATAAATGTGATGGGATTGTTATTTATGTGAAAAATCAATTCAACTGCATTCATAATTCAATTCAATTAGGTGAAGTCAAAGGCTACGTTCACCAGAACCAACACGGATTGTAAACAGTTTACAAATACCAACAGAATATGTTGGGTAAACTCTTGGTTCTGCTGAACGATTCAACTTTTCAATGATAGAACGTCACCTTCTGAATGACAGGTCACCACACAAAACACAATGTTGAAAATTATAAACACTCTGAAATTATGCTCGCAAAAATGGCGACCGTTTGCAAAACATGTTTGGTTTTAACACAAATTCAACGTAGCGTTCACCAGAACAAACGCAAACCGTTCACCAACGTTTGTATCTGGTGAACGTGGCCAAAGCCATACATTCAATTATTAGCTAAGCTAACAAACAAATCCAAATTTGGTCAACTCATAAATCTCCCTCTGCAAACTCTAGCAGCTTTATACAATACTTGTTTCAACATGTGCAATCACCAAAAAAAAGCGGACATTGATTTGATAATAGGCGTCATAAATTTTAACCTATTGAAACCTGAAGAAACTGAGGTGAATGATTACCTAAACCTATGCGCAGAACACCAATTTCAATCGGCCATAAACGATGCAACTCGAGTCGTTGGTCAGTCTAGGTCCTGCATTGATCATATTTTAATTCGATCTAAAATTAAATATCATACAGATATTTCCCAACCATATTGCAAACACCAGTAACAGATCATTACCCATTTATTCTAAAAATAATACTTAATGAAAAATCTTATAAGAAAAACTACACTAAAACAAAAACCTATCTTAACCATAAAAAACTTAAAAACTTGCTTCAGAACGAGAACTGGGCGGAACTCTTCTGTATGACACAAAACATTAATGGCCGCGTTCACCAGATACAAACGTTGGTAAGCGGATTACGATTGTTCTGCTGAACGCTACGTTGAATTTGTGTTGAAACCAAACATGTTTTGCAAACGGTCGCCATTTTTGCAAACATAATTTTAGAGTGTTTATAATTTTCAACACTGTGTTTTGTGTGGTGACCTGTCATTCAAGAAAGTGACGTTCTATCATTGAAAAGTTGAATCGTTCAGCAGAATCAAGAGTTTACCCAACATATTCTCTTGGTATTTGTAAACTGTTTAGAATCCGTTTTGGTTCTGGTGAACGTAGCCAGATATCACATCGTTTTTATCACTGATCTCAACAAAAAAATATAAATATGTACGACTACTGTAAAAATAAAACGGAAAGAACAAAAATGATCTCCCTGGATTAGTAGGGCTTTGGTAGATTGCATTAATAAAAAACTTGAATCATATAAATCGTTCAAAGAAACCCAAATAACATAACCATAGAAAGTCGATTCAAAAAGTATCGAAACTGTTTGGTTAACACAATAAAAACGGCAAAGGTTAACTTTTATAAATCCACAGTAGATCAATATATGGGAGATTCAAAAAAACTATGGCATAGCTTGAATAAACTAGAAAACAAAAGAAACGCAACAGATATCTCAATAATTAAAACAGAAAACAACGAAACTCTGACAGACAAAAGGGATATTGCTAATCAATTCAACATATTTTTCGTGAGCATTGGAAAAACCTTGGCCTCCA